ATGAAGACTATAACCAAGTTTAGCTCTAAAAAAACCAGATGAAGACTATAACCAAGTTTAGCTCTAAAAAAACCAGATGAAGACTATAACCAAGTTTAGCTCTAAAAAAACCAGATGAAGACTATAACCAAGTTTAGCTCTAAAAAACCAGATGAAGACTATAACCAAGTTTAGCTCAACACAGACCAGATGAAGACCATAACCAAGTTTAGCTCTATACAGACCAGATGAAGATTATAACCAAGTTTAGCTCTACAAAGACCAGATGAAGACTATAACCAAGTTTAGCTCCACGAAGGGAGCTAAACTTGGTTATAGTCTTCATCTGGTATAGTCTTCATCTGGTCTGTAGTAAACCAAGTTTAGCTCTAAAAAACCAGATGAAGACTATAACCAAGTTTAGCTCTACAAAGACTAATGAAGATTATAAAGCAAGCTGAGTTGTACAAAGACTGATGAAGACTATGAGGAAAATCTAGTAGAGACCGTAAATGTTGCTGCACTAAGGCTAAAGAAAGTTGAAGTTGGAAAAGGACAATAAGCAAGGTTGATAGTATATGACATATCTTTATAGTTTTTGATTTTAAAATTGTTTTTAAATTCCTTAGAAAGTGTTCTTGAGATTTTCCCAAGGATAAAAACTGGCTAAATTAGTTGCATTTTTGTATCTTTTAAATCAAGTTGATTTTAAATAAGGGTTGTGTCTTTCATGGGTGAAAAAATAAAGGTAATATCAACAAGTTCATAATATTTTACAAAGTACACATCAAGAAGTAATTTACGATTCATCCCTAATGTTTAGCCAGTGTTTTAGAAATCTTTTTCAAGTCATACTAAAAATAATCTAATTAATGTTAAATATGTAACAGAATACAACTAAAGACAAATTACAGGAATTTTAACATTACTTAAAAACACTGACACATTACAAGATGTGGGAATAAAGCTGTGCATAATGAAAGTTTCAGATTTTATTTTCCCAAAAGAAGACATTACAATATTATTTATTATCAGTCCTAGTTCTTCAACAACAACAAAAAAAGTTTCCTATTTAGTGACTTTCTTTTGCTGTCATATAAAAACCTTCTCAGCTAAGCAATGTTTAAAACTCAACAAAATATGGATTTATTTTAATAAGTGTAATTTATCAGACTGATTTTTTTGTTCAATATATTTTAAACTGTATTTTGTTTTTCTTCTTTTGAAAATAGAAACAAAAACCTAAATGAGCAACATATAAGATATAGCAAGGGGAAGATTATAATTGTCACACTTACTTTTTTCTCAAAGGTGACGTTTCAATCACTTACTTATCAAGAAAAGAAAAAATACTTTGATTTGACAAAAAGTGGTCAAAAAGTCATCTTGTTTTACAGTTATAGTTTCTCATTATTAGTGAAGTTTCTCTTGCAATATTTAAGAATTATAGTTACAAAGACACAGGCACAAACACATAATGCATAAAAAACACTTGATGTTGTAAAATTTTCAACCAATTCCACAAGAACTAACAAACAATGGAGTGTAAGCTTCCAAGTCCTACACTTGTAAAAAATTTAGCTATCAGCAAGGGGAATAAAGCTGGACATTCACAACAAAATGTATCATGAGTCATTCTACCCTAAATTACAATACAATTCAAGAGAAATGAGGAGGATAAAGGTATGTTTTGACAATTAATTTTGTACAAATTCTTGATTATTAAATATGTGATTTTAACCTAGAATCATACGTACAGGGCAGTTTAGGTAGCTTAGTGATACATTACATATTGACTACTTTTCTGTTAATGATAATCTTAAAACTCTTTCTAATTCTACTTCTTCTTCTTCTAGTTTTCTCCTTTCATCCTCAGCTGCCTGCTGGGATAACCTCAAGGCCAGAATAAGCTGGGGGTCCTTGTCTCCAGCCGTTGAAGTAGCTTCATCTGCAACACCGACAAGAGGCGAGCTGTTGTTCCAACAGTCAGTCATGCTTTCCTGTAGTGCCCTGAAGGTGAGGGGGGGAGCAAGGAAGAAATTGCAAGACTACAGGCAGGACTAGCTAACAAGTTAAACTAAACCAGACATCACAAACTAGCTATTGTGTGACTGATTGAGAGTAACTTCAAATTATTGAAATGGGACAAATCTTTGTTTGTCTCTAAAGCCACTACTATTAAAACCCACTTTCATTAGATAACTTCCTCCACAGAGGATAAAAACATCTTCGATATTACAAACTAAAATATATCTTTAAATGTAACATGTTTTTCAATCAGGATAACACTGGATGAAACTTGGAAACCTTTGCTCTAATAACTTAAAATAGGGAAATATCATAATTATTCTAACTGTAAACTATCATGTTTAAAAGGGTATCACAACATTCTACTGCTGACATACGACTGTCACAACATTTTATTGCCAGCAAATAATTATGTTCTTAAAACAATACATTTCCTAGCACAGTGAACAAGTTTATTCTCAAAAATTACAGTGATCTAATAAACTATAGCACTAAACTTGATTAAAAATAAAATTCAAAAATAAAGTAATTCAATAACTTGCTGGAGCAAACGGCTATGACTATATAGCAGATATGTACACTATCATTTATGTTTGCATAGGTACAAATTTTATGACATAATTTTTTGTGTTTCGGGTTTTTAATATGATAATGGTCACTTTCATCATATTCCGATGATACAATTTCTATACGTACAGAAAACCTTATAATGAAATGATTATTTGCTGCATACCATTGCCAGCAGTCAAATGTTGGTAGTCAAATGTTGGCAGCAGAATGTCATAGAACCATTTAAAAGAAGGTAACTAAAAACTTGAACTTTGATGCAAATAAAAATTTTTACATTTCATGATATGATAAAAACTTTAAAACAGAGTGCTAGAGCTTAAAGCAAAAGGAAGTGCTCAAAAAAGCAGAACAAACATCATAGTGTAAAAGATTTATGGAATCAACTAATGCATATGTCTGTTAAGAAAGCCATCTACGAAAGAGATTAAAACAATCAAAATTCTACTCAAGCTAACGTCTGAAAAGAAAAACCATATACAATTACTATATTTTTTAAAAGTCACAAATTAAATTATATTTTTATAATTACTACAGTATAACAAAATAATAAATAGCAACTCACAATAACATATTTCTTGGATTCGTGAGATAAGAAATCAAAACAGTTATAATTCTTCATGTTACAATGTCCAGGCAGTGATAAAATTTTCCTTACAGAAAACCATGTGCCAGGATCTGGCCTCATGGTGTATAAAGTATCAAGTTGTGTTCAAACTGAACAGCAAAGAAATAAAAACAGAACTCAGCTGTACAAGCTTCCAATAGACAAGTGGTGCTCCATTTGAAATTCCAATAACAACTTGTACCAAATTCCAGTGAGCAGAATTTCCCTCATATCCAAGTACTATGCAATTCTTTACAATACAAAGGACAAAATGTGTAGATTATAAAACTTACCTCACGAAAGTCATTATACCTTCAGTTCAATAAACACAGAAACAAGAATACTTCACAGGAATAATATGATAAAACATGCTTGTGTCTCTACTCTAGTCATTTCTCCTAAATTAAAATCATAATAAAAATATGTGTAGCCAATCTACAGATTGTAGCAATTTCATATATTACCTAGAATCAGTATGTAGCAATCTTGTGATGTTAGAGTCACTCTTCAACAACTGTAGCAGTTTTATGACTAAGGAGTCATGACAGCAACTTTAGCAATATTGTGACTTTAGAGTCACTCTTCAACAACAAGTAGCAGTTTTGTGACTTTGGAACCAATTTTCAACAACTGTGGCAGTTTTTGTGACTAAGG